AAGTCTTGATGGGACGGTGTTCAGTGGGGCAGGAGGGGAGGGGGGGGCAAGAGAGAAGAAGAGAAAGAACCTCTCCCGGTGGCTGAAGGCACCAAGGGTCTAGATGGAGAAGCAAGGAAGCCTCAGGCCACTTGCCAGCTCTTCAAGCGGGCGGAGGCAGGCCTTTTCAAGCTAAGGTGGCCCTCCAAAAGGGGCATCCCAGGAGAAGGACATCGAGGGAGGGGGGACAAGTGAAAATCTCGACTGGATTGAATTTTGATTGCACTTAAATCAAAGACATGAAGTCCACTCAACAGTCACTCTTCCAGACCTGTATTCCTTCCTTCCTTCCTTCCTTCCTTCCTTCCTTCCTTCCTTCCTTCCTTCCTTCCTTCCTTCCTTCCTTCCTTCCTTCCTTCCTTCCACCACCTTGCAATTGGGTGGCTATTTTGGGAAACATTCTGGAAGCTGCCCCTAACCTAAGGTTTTGGAGGCGAAGGGGAGAAGTCCCAGGTTGCCCAACTTGCCTGGAGCAGAAAGAAGGGTGAGCTGGAAGAGAGTCCTGGAGGTGACCCCACAACCAAGAAATAGGCCTATAGAAGAACTGTTCATCCTCTTGGCAATGTTGCTATGTGCAAAGCAGAAACAGAAGATCCTCCCTAGAAGAAACTATTGGGGACATGAAAGATGGTTACAAGGTGGGCACGTTCTTCTTGCTGATGGTCGTAAGGTGGACGCTCGGGACAAATGGCTCTCTAGCCTCTCCAATAAGCCCAGGTGGCTGCCAGGAGACACACCTGTTCAGAGACAGCATTAGCTCCTACATCTCTGGGATTTGGTCTTCCAGCCTTCTGAGAAGAGGAAGTGGCGCTTCAAGGGGACTCCCAACTTTGGGTCAGACCTGCCCAGCCAATTTACCTGGCCGCCAGTGATGCACAATGTGCAGAAAAGGCACAAGGCTGAACCTCTCCTGCCTCTTTAGCCCGCCCACCCCCACATTTGCCAGGCAGAGATCAGGACATCAGTCCTGGGCAGAAGGAAGATCCAAGTTGAACCTTGGACAGCTCCATGGACCAAGAAGGCTGCTCCATGCGCGGAAGTCAAGATTGCAAGGAGTCCTCCACACTGCACACCTCAAACCCAGGTACCAGGATCGTCTCCAGGTGGTCAGAGTCTTCAGACAGCCCACCCCCATGAAGAATGGAAGTTGTGTCTAGGGCTGGTTTCCCTCCACTGATGGCCAGGTTCTCCCCAGCTGCATGTGAATGGAGCTGAGACTTCCATGGACTTTGTCTTGTGGTCATGACAAGAGGAAGAAGTGGGACTGAGGCTCTTGACCAGGAGAAAGCACGGCCCCTTCGCCCCCATGGAAGTCAGTGGGGAAGGGCTGGAGAAGAGGGGCTCCGCAGAGCTCCCCAAAGCCTCAGAGGGTAGGATCGGGGGCCTCTCTAGCAGCTGCTGGGTTTCCCCTAAGCCTTGTCATTTGGATTTCTCCTCTGCTCGGACACGGCCGACTGTCCAAGCTGGCCAATGTGCAAAGTGATGCTGCCTCTCTCCTCCTCCTCCTCCTCCCCCTCTCCCTTCTCGCTTCGGAAATAAATAAATAAAAAAATAAATGCATAGAATGGTCTTTGGTCAGAAGAAAGGGGTGCAGCTCCCAGGGAATAACTGGAGGTCAATTCTGAGCACATTTTTTGGGGGGAGGCGGGGTGTCTCCTTCTTTGAGGCAGCAAGACCCCAACATTTCAGCCACCAAGGCTAAAACACGACCGGTTGAATCGATGAGAAAAGGGTTGGCGCTGTGGGCTCTGATGGTCTCCCGTAGCAGGCACCCCCTCCCCCCAGGAGACCCCCTGCTCTTCCTCGTTCTTCTCAAGCAGCTGCCAGGAGGGACCTGGGGTGTCCCAAGGCTGCTGGTCCCTTCCCCACAGCCGTGGCGCCACAGACCTCCCTGGCTGTTCTGCTCTCTCACACTTCCATCTCTCCCAGGCAGGTCCTTGGATTTGGCAGCTAGGCCACCTCTCAGAGGGACCAGGGAGGATGGTGTCTCTCTCTCTCTCTCTGTGTGTGTGTGTGTGTGTGTGTAAATTTGGGGAATTGGCTGGATGCGTGTGCGGAAAACTGCATCCTGCTGTGGAGGTGACTTCCAGGGAGGGAAGGGAACCCATTGGAGCCGCCTCATGGCGCTACAATTCCAAGGGTTCTTGGGTAACCAAGGCAGCAGCTCAGGGGATTGACTGGATCTCAGCTTACACCCCGACAGAGAGAAATTAGCCGTCTGTCTCCCACCCCCCCAGGAGTCCCTGGAGCCACGAGGCACCCCCCCGCCCCGGGGACACGGCCACCACGTGAGACAACTTCACAGCCGGCCAGGGCTGGGGATGGGTTGAAGGGGGGGGGATGCTCCCTTGGGGGGATTCTTTGAGGGCCCCCAATGGGGTCTCCTCCCTCTCCCTTGTATCTCCCTGACCCTCCCGCTCCTTGCAGCCTTAAGGACCACGAAGCTGAGAAAGCAAAATGAGAAAGGAAATGAGGAGGGGGTAACAAAAGGAAAAGGGAAGGGAGCCATGGGTGGGGTGGGGGTGGGGGCGTTGGTTCTGTCCAGTCCTTTCCAGCTCCTCTCCTCCTCCTCCTCCTCCTCCTCCTCCCGTCAGACGTAGCACAGGTAGAGGTAGGTCTTCTCTATCCTCCAGTCGGCCGGGATCTCCTCTGGCTTGTGGCTCTTCATGTGCTTCTGCATGGCGGAAAGGCTGGGGCAGTACTCCAGGCAGATGGTGCACTGGTAAGGGGAGGCTCCGTTGTGGGTCCTGAGGTGCTTGATCATGGCGGAGTAATCTCGGGACCGCTGGTGGCAGAGTTTGCACTCAAACGGCTTCTCGCCTGTGGAGGGGGAGGTGGAGGAGGAGGAGGGGGGGACAGGAGAAGAGAGGGGAGAGGAAGGAGGAGGAGGAAGAGGAAGAGGGAGGAGAAAGGAGAGGGGGAAGAGGAGAAGAAGGAGGAGAAGAGGGGGAGAAAGGAGGGGGGAAGAGGAAGAGGGAGGAGAAGGAAAAGAAAGAGGAGAAAGAGAAGAAGGGGAAGGGAAAGGAGAGAGGAAAGAGGAGAAGGAGGAGGAGAAGGGGAAGGAGAAATAAGAGAGGAAAGAGGAGGAGGTGGGGAAGGAGGAGAAAGGGAAGGATAAACAAGAAAGAGAACGAGGAGGAGGAGGAGGGGGAGGAGGAGGAGGAGGAAGGGGAATCATGGGTGGGGGTGGGGTGTTTCAAGTTATTTCCAAAGTGCAGAGGGAACCCTTTTCCTGGACCCCCCACCCTTCTGGAGCCCGGGACGTGGGAGTCAGAGTGAGAATGGCCACCTGGTCTCGGGCCTTACGTGGACTAGTTACTTGGGGGCTACTCCTTGCCTTCCCAGGCCGGAGCCAGCTGGGCTGGGGGGTCTCCAGATACCGAGAGGCTGCAGCCGGCCCGAGAGCCGAGGGGGCTTCCTTCCTTCAGGGCCATAATTAAGGGCCTGGCCTTCTCCTCGGTATCGATAGCCCTTCCGTGCCCAGGCAGAGCAGATAATGAAGTAATGAACAGAAAAAGCAATCTGAATATCGACCTGCTGTTTACAAAAGCTGCCGGCTGCTAGTGCCCAACGCCGCCATGCGCAAGCTGCCCGGGGGGGGGGGGGGGGGGGGGGGGGGGGGCAGGGCTGGAGGTCCCCTTACCCGTGTGGACCCTGTAATGGGTCTCCAGCTGATGCTTCAGGCTGAACTTCTTCCCGCAGCCGTTGCATTCGTAGGGCTTCTCCCCGGTGTGGATGCGCTTGTGTCCTTTCAGAGTGCTCTCGTCCCGGAAGCAGCTCCCACAGAATTCGCACTCGTACGGATGGTCACCTGCAGCCAAGATGGGGGGTGGGGGTGGTGGGGGTCAGAGAGAGGCCCATCTGTGGCCAAGGGACCAAGTCCACCCGGGCCCCGGGGGCCCCTGGTAGCTCAGGGTGGACACGGGGGGGGGGGTCTCCGACCTTGGCGGTTGTCTTGCAGACATTTCATGACCCAGCTAGGTAACATCATCAGAGCTAGTCACTACGTTACTGATGATGCTACCTAGTTTGGGTAATGAAATGTCTATGAGAAAACAACCAATCTCAGAGAGCACCAAGGACCCCTTAGTCCTCCTCCTCCTCCTCCTCTTCCTCTTTCTTTCTCCCACTCCTCCTCTCCACAAACCCCACACTTCCTTCTAGCACTGATGATGTTACCTAGTTTGGCTAATGAAATGTCTGCGAGGAAGCAGCCAAGTTCAGAGAGCACCAAGCGTCCCTCGGACTTTTAATACTAAGTAATCCGCTTAAAATTGAAACCTTTCTTGTGCAACTAATACTTGGAAGCCATTTGCAGTGGTTCTTTATTCAACGTTATTATACTCAACTTGGGACAGAAAAGACAAACCATTTTATGCTTGCAATATTGACGTCCCAAATTGTAACCAATAGGGGTGGCCGTACTTTACCCCCCCCCCCGTTCTTCTTTACCTGAAACAATCTAAGTTATCTAAGTGGTAGAATGCCAATAATTTTCAATTCATGTTGTAAAAACATCACTGTGGTCAAAATAATACAGCTCGGCATTTATAAAAACGTCATTAAAAAGGAGGTGAAAAATTAGGTCCACCCTGAAGATCCAGGAGCCAAGGTGGCTTACTGGGGTCAGAAGCTGACCATGAGCTCAGAGGATCTCCAAGAGGGATGGAGATGCGCTCCAGGAGGCCTTTGAGTATAAGGTGGTGGCCAAACACTTGTAGGATGGAGACACGAGAGGATGGAAATCAAGATTCCTGGCCACCTTGAAGGAGGACTTGTCTTCTTCTGGACATAGAAGAACCTCATTTCTGGAGTAGCCAATCAACAGGTTCTGGAATAGGGAAAGTTTTTTTCCCACCCAGGGATGTATGTTGGTCCTTTTGGTGTCTTCTGCTGCTCCCCATCCAGGCCGTTGCCCAGGCGAAGTTCTCAAGGGGTTGCTGAGAAGATCCAGACTGTGGCCACCAATCTCAGGATTCCTTCTTCAAGGGGTGGGATGCGGGCAGGCGAAGGAGGAAGCGAGCGAGCGGCTTCAGCTCCTTCGCCCTCTCTTTTAACAAATATTTATTACAGAAACTGAATGGAAGGACAATAAAGATAGATTGATCACCCCAGACTTTGTTCATGAATATTTAAATATTGCTGATTTGTCTTGTCAGTGTAATTACAACCTTCTCCAGGCTCGGCAAATCCGAAGTTTATGGTAAAGAATGGCCCCACTGTATTTCACTTGTCCCGCTGCAGATGTGCAGAGCCGCCAAGCGTGTAATGCTGCTCCCATTTCATACATTTTCCTCCGCTGCTGAAAGCTTAAGTCATCCACAATGACCTACGCTTTTTCATTATCCCCATGTCAAACCCAACTCGTGCCTGAGCATAAATTCTCCGCCTTGTTATAGACTCGTAGGCGGCTGCCTCCACTTCCTCGGGCCCAGGAAATTCGGCTCCCTTTCTGCCCTCCCTCCAGCTGCTTCACAGCTACACCCCACACAACATACACACGCACACAGGTCTTTAGGCACAATTTCTCCTAAATTAGGACCCTCCAGGCATCCGTTGTTGTTGTTGTCTCTTCTTCTTCTTCTTCTTCTTCTTCTTCTTCTTCTTCTTCTTCTTC